TCCTGATTCGTTCCTGAGGCGTTCTCTAGTAGTTAATCAAATTTTGTGTACCTTATTGTAAAGTGTTACCAAAAATGGGCTGCGCAATTGATGTTTCTGAACAACAGAAGCAGCTTAAAGAGGAACTTGTTTTTATGGCCATATCCTAAAATTATTTGTTTTAAAAAAAGATTGTAACTTGTGACTTCATAACCTTCTTAGTGTGACCGGCCCAGCTCCCAATCCATGATTATGATTGATGAAATCAAAGGACACATAGAGTGTTAATCAGATGCATTGATGTGGACTATACATCAAATGTATGTTGGACACCTCTATTCTAAAACCCATGGCTAACTGGTTGCACACACTCTAACACTATGTCACATAAATGAACCACAAAGCTGGCTTAGCTTTTCATATATTGACTGTTATTGCACTGCTACTACTTTACTTGGCAGCTTAGAGACAAGATAACTGGCTGACTTGAACCTCTCATGCCACCTCAGTCCTTACAGACATGACACTGAGATGACCAGAAGGCATCTGGTGTAGTTCAAAATGTGATGGTTCCATGTGTTTGCTGTTGAGAACCTCACCATGTGCACTACAGTCCTGGCTCTTCTGCTCTACGAGAACTAAATCCAAATTTGGGACAACTTGAATCAAATTTCTTCACTGTTTTGTTGCTAGAAGGCCCAATACAGATTGGCTATCTTTGCTTTTAGTTTCATAATCCAGGTTACCTTATGATGGATATTTAAGTCGTTATTAATTTAACTTGTAAACAGTGATACCAGAATATCCTGATTCATGCTCAATAATCCAGGTAGTAAAACATTGGTTACATACTGTAACCCCAGATTCTATAAGCGTAGCCCTTTAAGGTTGTCGCTGATGGCTTCAGTGTAATGCTTCGCATAACAGGATAACCCATCAGCGACAACCTTAAAGGGCGAAGCTTATACGAAATAGAACTTACCAAAGTTAAGTCAGGTCCTCTGGATGGTTTCTTTTTGTTGAAACGTTTCGTCTTTCATCCAAAAGACTTCAAAGGTGATACCAGAATTTCTTCTAATTACCACTAAAGTGATCCTGAGTACCACCACTGACATTTGTACGGCAGTTAGAGGAACCATGCGGTTAGGTCACTGTCAATTGTGAGTTATTTGACAACAAGACATAAATTGTTTTGGTCACATTTTTCAAGGTGTGAATGGTTATGAAACCACCTGAGGAGAAAGGTTGACGTTGCATTGTAGGTGTCTGATTGGAGAAACCTGAAGTCACCCACTTATTTTTATTACTTGGTTTTCTCATTTAAAGTAGCTCATTCCTTTGGGTCTTTTCTCAGTGTTTCTCCTCCATAAAAGTCTGAAAATTGTTGATTGTACTGGACAACACATATTGTGTTGTTCGCTTTGAATCTGGGTTTTTATCCTTGGTCTGAACTCATTTAGTATTAGAGTATTTTACTTTACTTTGAAATGCACCATAAAATTGTAATACCGGTTGTTGAAAAGTCTTTGGAGTTCCTCAGATATCCCTGTAACATATGGGATGACAGTATGTTTACATTAGTTCTTCTTGTCCCACTACAAGGCGCAGACAAAGCACAAGTTTGATGCCAAATACTCACAGCTGCTACAGTATGTGTCAGCTCCAAAACATGTTAATTGCATTAAATGCAATTAATTACCAACCCCTGAGGAAGAGAGGAGCCGAAAGAAGAAGACGACGATTTAAATGTACGTCACTGTAGCATTTTTTGCAAGTCACTCTGGTGTTGTCAGATATAATCACTGTGACTGTTCACTGTTCTTGTGATACTTCTTAATCTAATTTATTAATTTAATTCTACTTGTCTTTGGTATGAAAGTTTTCCTTCTGAAAATCAGAATAGAACAGAAAATAATAGAATAGCTTTACACTTGCCTGCAAACTTATCTGGTGAAAGCATCATCTGCAAATAGCAGCAAAAGGAAGCAAAACTTAACTGTTGTAGTTATATAAATACATAGTCTGGTTTGCATGCTGGCAGTAAGACAGACCTCTTCAGGATGAGTCGGACTACACCAGAGCTGCCCACTGTCACAGGTTTTTCTTATCCATAACTTTTATAGATAGGATTTCCTGATGCAGCCAAAGGGTGGGGTTCAGTTCAGTGATCTCAGGATTCTCTCTGCTATTTCCACATGATGTGGTTCTGTTAGCATCATTGTTCAGTGGTCTGTAGTACTCAATGGAGAGGTTAACAGCTGGGATGGTCCTCAGTTATGTAAAGGTGGACTGCCCACTCCTGGTTGGGTGTGAGGCGCTCCCAAAATTGTAGAAGTTTAAGTATCTCTGGGTTTTGTTCATGATTGAGGGAGAGACAATTGAGCGCAAGACAAATCAAGACTTTCACAGCACAACATAATCTGTACCAGTCTGTTGTGATAAAAAAGGAGCTGAGTTACAAGGCAAAGCTCTCTGTTCACTGGTAAATCTATGTTCCTGCCCTGACCTGTGGTCCCGGACTCTGAGTGACCGAAAGAATCAGCTTGCCAATACCAGCTTTTGGATTTTTTTTTCCCCGCAGGGAAGCCGAGGTCTATCTTGCAGACAGGGTGAGAAGTTCAGCAATTTTGGAGAGACTCAGACTAGAACCGCTTCTTCTCCATGTTGAGAAGACCTAGCTGAGGTGATTCGGGCATCTCGTAAGAATGTCTGGATGTATACTGAAGAAGGTATTCAAGGCATGTTTAACTGGAAGGAGGACCCTGACACTTAACTATATGTCTCTTGGCTGGCCTGGGGATGCTTTGGAGTCCTCCCAGAAGAACTGAAAGAGGTAGTTGTGGAAAGAGATGTCTGGGCCTCTCTGCTCAAGCTGCTGCATGCGACAGATGATGGATGGATGGATAGATGTTGTATATCATCCAGGTGTTCTGAACCCTGGTCCATGTATTTTGCAATACTTGTGTAGTCTACAATACTTTGTGATTAGAAATCTATGCAAGTATTTCCTTCTCTCTGCTATAGATGACAGGTTCTCTCTGCAAATATAAGTTTTCAGAACATTTTGGAAAGTAGTTGATGCTTTACTTTAAATTCTAGTTAACATTTTTGATGTAATTGATTTTATTCTGGTTTGTGATGAAGAAATTACTTTAAGAACAACATTATAATTGTTTTATTTTAAAATACTAGTATCTACTTTTTCGTTAAAATTGAAAAGAGCTTTAATTTTTTTCACAAGCAATTTTTTTCTATACCTTTATAATGTGTTTTTTTTTAATGCATCTTTTCTCATTTTGTGTGCTTCCTTTCCCTCTGTACTCATCGTCTTATCATTTTTCTTCTGTCTCTGTTAGTAGCATTCCTTGACTCTCCCTCACACCTTTCTCTCGCCTAACGTCTCTGCAGCGTTGCTTCTTTTCTCTGCCCCTCTCTGTGTGCACAGTTTGCATGTGTGTGTTTCTCCGCAGCATGTCCATCAGCAGTCTCATTATGGCTGTCTGTTTTTACATCCCTTTGCCTCATTAAGCACCAAACACAGCCACTGAGGACAGCAGGCCTCAACTTTAGTGCCAATTTTCCTCACTCTCTGTCTTTGACTGTGTGTGTTCTCTGCAACTCCCCTGTAACACATTACCTTTTTCCTTACATCAGGCCCTTTCCATCTTCTGCAACTTCTTCCTTTTCTGTTCTTTTGTGCTCATGAGAAACTGAGTTTTAGACACTCCAAATTATTTTGTACTTTCTTTTTCTCCAATGCTTCAAAGTGGAAGTATGAGTGACACTGGTTTACCGCCTCCTAATCAATACGTAGTAGGGACTTGCCCACCCAAATGGTGGTCTCATCATGACTACATCACACTCCTTAGCGTTGTGGCTACTGAGAAAGATGGGTATGATCGCGCAAGGAAGAAGCAGATAAAGGTTTTGCAGCTGATGGAATTATTGAAGGAGAAGTTAAGAAACAGCTGATGGAGTTATTGCTGTTTTAGTAAAATTTTATGATACAGTTATGGATGATCTCTTGCATTATTGCAAGATCATGTGCACTTTGTTAGTGCTTGGAGTGTGTGTTGTGAATGGCTGAGCTACTATCACATCAATCAATCAATATCTGAAAATCTAACATTTAAAAAAAAGTGTTTGCTGTGGTTGATAAGCTATAGTGGCCATCCTAAATCAGATTGACTAAAAACAATTTTAATTTCAGTAATTAATTTCTGAGGGTTTCATTAAAAACCATCCAGTTTCATGAGGTATTTTATTTAATATTCTGGTTTCAGTTCTCCTGCTGACCATAACATCAAAATATGGGTGGAAAATATGAAACACCCATGTCTACCTCCACCTTCATTGGCCCGCCCTGGGCTCTTGAGCAAGGCCCTAAACCCCATCTGCTTCCCTGGACGCACTAGATGGCAGCCCCCACTCCACACAGAGGGCTGTGTGGTCTGTGGTTGTGTCAGGAAGAGCATCTGGCGTAAAACAATTGCTGAGTGGGGCTTGAAATCATTGCAGAGTTCTTGAAGAAGGGAGCAGCCAAAAGGAAAAAAGATTTGTCTTCTTTACAATGGTCCCGGACAACCCCCCAAAGATCACTATTTGAACTAAAGGCCGGGCAAAAGACAGGAGGAAAAAAATGTGTGGCAGGAATTTGGTTCCAAACAAATACCCACCTTCAACAGGAACCAGTGCATAACTGGAGATAAAACAAGAGATCTCGTTTTCTTTTACAAAATTAATGAGAAATTAACTAAAATTTTAAACAAATCATAATGTAGAAGGCTTGGTTGAGCAGAACTGGCTGACGTCTAGAAACGTTTGTTGTAGAGGGACTGAGATAATAGGGACTGAGAATCTTCACCAATGTATCAATAGGGACCTATATTTGTGTTCAAATTAGACAAACAAGTATAAATCTGTTTTAGGAGTTAGTCTTTTTAATAAAAAAAATCATTTTTTATTTTTGCATCAACTGCAAAACTAATTTGCCTTTATGGTTCTTTTCTCTGTGACACCAGGTGAATGAGATCTACCATGATAAGACGTTGGGAGCAAAAATCAATGTTGTACTGGTGCGGATAATCATGCTGGGATATGGCAAGGTAAGACCTTACAGGACACAAGTCCCTCTGAGAAGATTCAGTTGAAATGATGTTGCCTTCAGCAACAAAATCAGATTTATTTTAATTTATTTTGTTGTTTTTTTTGTCACTTTGTCAGCACAATTTATGGCATTGAGATTTTGTTATAATCGCTTTAGGTACCTTCCGCTAAATTGTACACTCATAAACAAACACACATGCACACTCGCCAGAGCATTGGGCGGCCTAGAGCTTGTTATTCCAGTGGACTGAGCAAAAGAGGAACTAAAAGCATGCAGCATCCCAGGGGAATGTTTCCAAGTCACACGCCTTCACAGTTCAGCTCCAAAGCACACAGAAATTTTACCCGTTATGTAATCAGTGTTCTTTCCAGCAGGTTGCAGCACAGAATCATGGGAAGTCTAGACAAAAGTAAATAATCAATGACACCCCGCCCTCATTCATAAAGAGACTGGACTATGAGGCTAGCATCCTTGTTATTCAAGACAGCAACTTTATCTGCGTGCCTCTGCCGAAGAGAGAAGTACGATTCTGTACGGCAGGAACGAAGGAATGATGGGATTGCCCCAGTGGTTGATACAGATGATTTTATTGGTGGATAGTTGTCCTGTGATGTACTTCTGCTGCTGCAGCCCTGTCTGCAGTCCCAAAAGAAGTCTGGAAACACACACTCATCACACACATACACACACATCACAATATTGGTCATTCTGGGCCAGCCCCAGTGCAGCTTCAGCCAAAGCTTCGGCTGTCCATCATTCCCAATTACCGTAGCAACAGAGCTGCACCCAGACAGCCCGCAGATTGAATGTGCGACCCTGAATGCAGGCACACTCATACATCCACACTTTACTCACACAGTTCATCACAACACCCTGCTCCAAACACACTTTAAAGATCATAAAATTTACTCCTAAACATATGCCAGAGCAACTGATAAACCTGGGAAATCACACACTTGTACAATCAACGTTGTCTGATTAAGGACTGCGCAAAGAACATTAACACTTCATCAGAGGAAAGCCATATGTCTCACTCAGACTACTATAAATCAGCTGCACTTTTGTGCACATACGACAGCAGAGTGTCAATCTAAAGTAAAAGGTGGCAAAGAAAGTAAGTAAAAGAAAAATATAGATGGCAGAACGTGACCAAGTAGGCCAACAAAGTTGAGAAGAGATTATAATTAGGTGGTACATAAAAGGTGGAAGTGAAGTGAAGGAAATGCCAGAGTCTAGGTGTTTGAGGTGTTAGTGCCACGTGTTATAAGTAGATATTTAGTAGTTGGATATGATTTGGTGATAAGTACACAGCTATACACTAATATTTACTTTAATTTCATGTTCAATGCAAAAAAATAATTCGTTCATGACTTATTATTATTTCTGTCATCTTTTTAAGATTGTTATTTCTGTGTAGAGTTTGGAGTAATATATGCCTCAGCACTTTGCAAGATGTGCTGACATCAAAAAACACTGACACTGCCCCCTACTGGGTCAATTAAAGAATTGTACAAAACCTGAAATGAAAACATTCTTGTTTTTCAGTTCTTCACACTGTGTTCTTCCTTTCTCGTTGTGTCCCTCTCTGTTGCAGTCCATGAGCCTTATTGAACTTGGAAACCCATCTCAGAGTCTGGAGAACGTGTGCCGCTGGGCCTTTCAACAGCAGAAGCAAGACACGGGGGACGCCGAGTATCACGATCATGCTATTTTCCTCACACGGCAAGAATTTGGCCCCACCGGCATGCAGGGTACATACACCATCCTCTCTGATTAGCATACTGTAAAGTGCAGCAAGCTTACACGCTGTAAAAAGACAACTGTCCTCTCCTTTCGGTTGCCTCATATATGTAGCTGCACAGTGACTGTGTGCAACAGAGTACAGGCTAACAGTCAGGCCCAAGGGACGGGCCTCTAAAGCCAGTGGCCTAGCTATCCACAAGCCCTTCAGCTGCCCTTGGGCACAGCCTTCAGCATCAGAAAATCAATATACAGAGAAGGGCCAGCCACAGCTCCACAATTACAGGCAATACAGGACAGAGAGGCACATGGGGAGCCTAAGATGGTTGTGTGCTAACGGTTTAGGGCTAGTTAGACACATAAATGTAAACAGGATTTTGTCACCTGTTGTAATAATATTTTTGTCTGTTTGTGTGTATGTTTGTTTGCCTTTTGTGTCAGCAGAATATCTTATTAACCTGAGGTTAGGTTTTTAAAGAAATGTTCAGAAAGTAATCACTGGATGTACGTCTAAAACCTATTCACTTTTAGAGCCACCCCAATTCAACAGGGCCGCCACACCTAAATTCATTTCAATTCAGTTTATTTATGTAGCGCCAAATCACAACAAAATTGTCTCAGGGCACTTTACAGGAACATTCACATACAACCCAATTAGTAAAGTTCTCTATCTAAGGAAGCCAGCAGACACGTTGAAGCTTCACTTCGTTGCAGTTTCCCGTCCTGAGCAAACACTAAGGCGACAGTGGAAAGGAAAAACTCCCTTTTAAAAGGAAGAAACCTCCAGCAGAACCAGGCTCAGGACAAGCGGCCATCTGCTTTGACCGGCTGGTTGAGAGGACAGGAAGGAGAGACAGACGAACACAGAATGGCAAAGCTAAATGACATTAGGCATCACAAAAATGGCCATAACCAGTCAATTTTACAGATATAGAGCTAAAACTAGTGCTAGTAGCCGAGGGTCATTCCTAATTCACATTCCGACCATTAGCTGATCTCTCAAGGTTTCACAATCTGATCAGTAATTTATCAACCTAAGATCTAGGTTTAAAGTCGAAAGGTGGCAGAATGGTACAGTATGTACCTGTAGTCCTTCAAGGAATGCTAGTTTTTTAAATATATTTTTAAGTTATGGTGCACATTATTTTATGTGAGCATGGTTGTGCCTTTGTTTCATCCATCCATCCATTTTCTTTACCCGCTTATTCCATTTTGGGTCACGGGGGTCGCTGGTGCCCATGTCCAGCAATCACTGTGCGAGGGGCGGGGTACAACCTGGACGGGTCGTAAGTCCATCACAGGGACACATAGAGACAAACGAGACAAACAACCATTCACTCTCTCACTCACACCTAGGGACAATTTAGAGTTACCAATCAGCCTAACATGCATGTTTTTGTTCAGTGGGAGGGAACCGGAGCACCCGGAGAAAACCCACGCATGCACGAGAAGGACATGCAAACTCCACACAGAAAGACCTCAGGTCCAACCGGGGATTGAACCCAGGACCTTCTTGCTGTGCGGCAACAGTGCTAACCACGGAGCCCAAAATAAACCTCATTTGAGGAAGTGAAAAAGGCACATTTTACCACACAGTCAATGAGCAATCATTGTTTTATCAGTCCAAATTTAATTTTTGTTTTTAAAGATTGTTGTATTTCATGACAGTCCCTGAATTAATGTTGCCCATGTCCTCCTGGTTTCTAAGGTTATGCTCCAGTGACGGGGATGTGCCATCCTGTGAGGAGCTGCACTTTGAACCACGAGGATGGTTTCTCCTCTGCCTTTGTGGTGGCACATGAAACTGGACATGTGTAAGTGTTAACAGAAATGTGTTGTAGGCTGCCAGCAAAAGGAAAACAAGTCTGTCTCCTAAAGAATTGCAGTGTTTCATTCCAGTTTTGATGCAGCGGTCAATTGTTTGACGAGTGAACTGGCGCTGCTTTCCTTTAGTCAGCTCCTTACTCTTCACCTCCTGTCCTTACCCTTCACCCCTCTTCTGTCGTCTCTCCTGCGTAGGCTGGGGATGGAGCATGACGGTCAGGGAAACCGCTGCGGAGACGAGGTGCCCATGGGCAGCATCATGGCACCTCTGGTGCAAGCCGCCTTCCATTACTTTAAATGGTCCAGATGTAGCATGCAGGAGCTTGGACGCTACCTTCAGTGAGACACACACACACACACACACACACACTCACACACATGCATATTCGGATTTGATTAAATGGACTTTTAAAGGTCAGCTCTAACTTTAGGATTTTAAATATACCTGAAACTGATTTTTTTTGTGTGTGTGTGTGAAATGTTTTTTGGTCTTTCAGAAATGAAATGTTATTTTAATAAGACATTTCATTATTAACATCATAAATAGAAAAATAACGTAACATTGTTTCATCTGCATTTATGAATGCCTCTCGCCATGAAAGCCAGGCAATCATGTATTTGCCTGCATGCGTGATTATGTGTCTATGTTAACAAACTTTCTCATGAACCAGTGGGCAGATTTTATAGAAACTCGAAGAAAATAAACATTTGTAGTCAAACCAATTCAAGATGGCAGCCACATCTGATAGACCTCTACAAACTCAAAATAACAAAAACTCAGTCATCTTTATAGATACTGAGCAAAAAAAAAGCAATGTATTAGCTGAGAGTTGTCCCTAATTTAACCATTTTTGTGTAAACAAGTTACATAAGATTTTTTATGTACTTGTACAGTCAACCCTGTTTTCTGTTAGCAAAATATCTCTTATATGAATAGATGTTACTGAAATGCTCAGAAAGTAAATATTAGGTTCCTAATTATATGTCGATACATTCTATTAAAAATTACTTATCAGGCCATGAATGATTGTAAAAATAAAAAATGGGTGAAAAAATGTGATTTTTCTTGCAGCTCTTATGATTGTCTTCGGGATGACCCATTTGACCACAACTGGCCGTCGCTGCCTCAACTTCCTGGTATGCATTACTCCATGAATGAACAGTGTCGCTTTGACTTCGGTGTTGGCTACACCATGTGCACCGCGGTAAGTGATCTCTGTGGCTTGACAATAAAATACTCACTAACTGCACCATCAAACTGAGGGTGTCCTCTGGAGAAATGGCCTCCAGTTAATCTTAGTCCTGCTTTATCATCTTGGGTCATATACAATTTCAAAGCTAAGGCTGAGAGTCTTTTGGAGATTACTTTTAAATATGTGTACTTTAGGTAATAATTCATTTTCTGAACATCACTGTGGTGTACAGCATATAATCATGATTTATTTTAGCTCTGAATTTATTCTCTTTAACTGAGCCCTCAAGTGGGATCTAGTACCCTCAGATAAAACAGTTTACTCAAACATATCTATTCACGTTCTTCTGATGTCCTCTGTCTCCTCTCCCTGCCACTGGTGGGATTGACATCTTGCTTAAAAGCAGGTAATTGGTTTTGATAGACATTTATTTTTAATGTTAACATTGTTAATCTAAATAAGTACCTTATTTATTGTAGCAGTACGATTGCCGTGAACCACGGTGCTTTTACACGAACCTGTCACAAATGGTGTTTTGTAAAGCCAAAAGGAAAGAACATTACACAGCTGTAGCATTTTTTTTTTCTGGCATCTTTTTACTTCTACTGCGCCCAAATTTGCTTTGACTGTTAAGCCACTGTTGCAAAGTTGTTGCTTGATTGATTAAGGGCATGATCAGGGGCTTTGCACGCATTGCTAGATTATCTCTATTCTCTTGTCAAACTCAATCCCCTCAGCTAAAAAAGGCGAGCCAGTCAGGAACGCAGGTAAGGTTATCCACCTTCTGGGAAGACATGTGGCCCCTCTTTTATTTTGCCAGATTCTGTTGTCCTATTTGTTCTCCAGAGTTGTAAGTGCTTGTACTGTTACTCCTTTTTGTTTCACTTGTTCTTTGCATCTCTGTTTTACCCATCGTCATAATTTGGGTATAAGTCTGCAGGATTCTAAAATGCTCATACTTGGAGATCAAGTGGCTATGAAGTCCTTGTTTGTGCAGCACATATAGTGCTGTTCATAACTTTAATTAGCACCATATCCTGAGTCCTCTCCTGCAAATCTGTGTTAAATCTCTGTAGTACTGGCAGGAAGAGTCTCATTGTATTGGCACTCATGTCAGCATAAACAAGTAGAAAGGCTTAGAAAAATGTTTTTCCCATACGAAGCACTATGTCTTAACCAGAACTGAGGCTATTTTCCTTTGCTTCAGCTTTTAGGATCCTCCAGTCTGACGTAAGAATTGCGTATCACAGCTCTTGCCACTGTTTATAACTCACCACATGACTATGCTATGACAGATGACATGTGACTTGGAAAGGTCCACAGGGGTCATAAAAGGTAGTCAAGTTTGTGTAAAGAAAGGACAGAGATCATTCCCCCGAGACACTGAATGCTGTAGTTTGATGGTATTGTTAGCTTTGCTTCCCATCAGACAAACAGGGGGAGAATTTGGTCATCCACAAGCATCCAGGGGCATTTCACAGATCACTGAAACCTCACCTTTACAAAAGACTTAACTCTTTAACTTCCTTAATAATGTGATTAACCCATGAACTGTCACACTACGAGAGTTGTATCCCTTGTTATCATCCATTGGTTAAGTTTGCATGAGTGGCTGTGTGTTTTTCTCAGTGAAGCATAGTGTAAAGTGCAGTGGCCCCGCTCAGAGTCAGTGTTTTATTGTTGGTTATATTATTGTGGTGGCTACTGTTGTTGTGACATTTCTCTTCCCTACTCTTTTGTTTCCCTTGTTCAGTGTTTAGTCTCATCCCGGCTCTCTTGTTTACCGTTGTGTTCATTGAACGTCAATCATAAGAAGTCTCTCTGTGCCCCGCAGTATCGCCCGTTCGACCCATGTAAGCAGCTGTGGTGTAGTCACCCAGACAATCCATTCTTCTGCAAGACCAAGAAGGGACCACCCATTGATGGAACGATGTGTGGGGACGGAGGAAAGGTGTTGATACATTACAACAAAAAACACACATTGGGGAAAATTAGTTAGATCCACTGACATGTTTTGTTGCTCTGTTGCAGCACTGCTTTAAAGGTCAATGCATCTGGTTGACTCCTGACATCATGAAGCAAGATGGAAGTTGGGGCCCATGGAGTGAGTTTGGTCAGTGTTCCCGCACCTGTGGTGGAGGTTTACAGTTTCGCACAAGAAATTGTGATAATCCCAGGTATGCTATTATTTGCAAGCTAAGCATAGTCTTACTCTATATTGTAATACCATTAAAGTAGACATTCTCGCCACCTAGTGGCATGTTGTAGGCAGTGACGTGTGCGGTGAGCTTTGTGACAGGTGAGGCACTGACTCATCTGGAATCGGATGCCCACATATATGAACCCAAAATAGTAGCTTATATTTCAATTTAGCATTTTTTTCTCAATACCTTCTGTTTTGACTGAAAATCAAGTTTAGAAAAATCCTTTAGTTTTGAGATATGATCACCCATTTTGTCTAAACAAATTTAAACAAGCGTACCGTTTGCTAAACCCCCGCCCCTCTGCGTAACAGAAGAACGCACAAGGACTGCACCTGTTTCAATGTCCCTATAGCGCAGCACTGCTCCCTATTGGTGCAGCTCGGTACTTTCTGCCTCGCCCCTGTGTATTTTCTACCGTGCTTTTATGACCGATTAGAAAGAAGAAATATGTCTCACACATTCATTCAATATATTGAACAGACTGTAGAACATCAGCATGTGTAACACATGTGTAATCAAACATGTGTATTGGCTATATAAAGAGAGACAGCAATGGGCATGTGCCAACTTCCTACTTCATATATTGTATATGACACAGTGCCCCCAGAGGTGAACTAGAGCACTACACTGCCTCACCCTGCATTGTTTGAACAGGCAGTGTGTAAATTCCACGATTTTGACCATTGAAGTGTTGAAATAATTCAGAAAACAGTTTTAAAAAAACAGTTTTATAGAACAGTCAGTGGTCAAATGTATTTTCTCTTATCATTGTCAGTATTTTACTTGTCTTGATCACAGGAGAGGTACTGCCTCTCACTGCACGTCACTGTTTGTAGGTATATTTTAGCCTTCTTGTTGGAACGTGTGGCTGGACAAAAGAAATACAAACAAAGAGAGAAGTATTTTGTTAAAAACTATTCTGAAGTAGTGTAGACAAGGTCAGAGAATGCAGAAATTGTAACTTCCAATTTTAAAGAAGAAAAAGAAATACTGTTTAAATGAGTAAAAGTATTATTGTCCATCCTGTCCTGCCACATTCCCAGTCCAGCCAAAGGAGGTCGGGCCTGCACGGGGGCGACATATCAGTTCCAGATGTGCAACACCAACGAGTGTGAGGACATCTACAGTGACCCAAGGGAGGAGCAGTGCCAGAGCGCTTCAGATCAGAGCAACAAACACCACTGGCTGCCTTATGAACACCCAGATTGTGAGTAGACGTCCTCACAGAACTTTGGTGCAGAAATAGAACAACTCAAAAATGGCAAACTTTAAGTGATGTTGGAGCTATAAATATAAAGAAAAGCCAAAAAAGGAGATGAAACACATTTTATGATAAGGTTGGTGTTAGACGATTTTAAACAGTGAGTACAACTTTAAGGTTTAACTCAAATAATACCAATAAACACATAAAAACACATCTTCCAAAATTTAAACATCTGTTTTAAACTTAAATTTGTTCTTCTCCACCCACTGGCTGATGTCATTTAAACCATAGTAACCTTCACAGTTCTTTACCTTTTTTTACATGTATTTGTTACAATTGGATCCACATTAGAAACAAAAAAATAAAGTTCTTTACTTAATACACAAAACCTTTTTGCATCTAGAAATTTTTATGTGTATAAATTTGAATAAAGACGAGATTTCTTTAAGCGGTGATGTCACTTCCTTTATAACGCAGGTTTTTGTTCACCTAAAAGGCAATTTTAAAGAAATGTTTTCAGCTTTCTTCCAATTTTTATTTGTTCTCATCATTTCTTCTCGTCCTGTTTTTTGTTTTACGCAGCTTTCACCAACTCAAATTATGTTTCTGTGTGTGAGTGTGCAAACACACACGTGTTTCAGTGTGTGGAAGAGAAAAATAATGGGAGTGGAAATTGAATTCCTATTTAGTGTCTGTCATCTTCATAGTAGGAGAATAACATCGCCAGATGTAAAACTGAAAGATTTGTCTGACAAATTGTTGTCTTTATTCCTCGTTCTGTGTATTTATCTATGTCAGCAGTGAGTGGAAATGACTCCCGAGAACAGAGACATTAAATGTGAGGCAAAAAGCTAGTTGGAAACTCATCTAATTATTTGGTTTATTGCAGTGGTTCCCAACCCTGGTCCCTGAGGAACACCACCCTGCTTGTTTTAGTTGTTCCTCTGCTCCATCGCCTGATTTGAATGAAAGAGTGATTAACAGGCTTCTGCCAAACTTAAGGAAGTAATTAAACCACTGAATCAGATGTGTTGGAGCAGACAAACAAAACATGCAGGATGGTGTTCCTCAAGGACCAGGGTTGGGAACCACAGGTTTATAGGACCAGCAGCTTTTAAAGGTGCTGATTTGCATCCAGTGAAAGACTCTTACTGCCTTTTGGCTAACTCTGGGATATTTACTGTTAACTTGTTTAAGTATTGGTTAACGTCTATCCATCCATCAATTCATTGAATGTTATTATTTTTTGTTGCATTTCAACAAAAATCTATAGAAAGCAGTTTATTCATACTTTTTTTATTAACACCTTCCCACCACTGGATCATTTTAAAACATGTGTATACCTTGATTCTGGTCTTTGCCATGCGTTTAAATAGTTCTGACTGTTCATTTCAGTTATGTGAAGTACTCATCATGGCCATGATGGCCACTATAAGTTGTCCTCAATCATTTCTGTTTCCACCTCCTGACATATCACCTGTATTCAATTAGTTGTCAGCACACCTGTAGAAACTCACTAATTACCAATCCCTTTCATACTTTGTTGTTTTCTTAAGTTGGCTTGAATACAATCAATACAATACAGTATATTTATTTTTGAGTTTATTAAAAGTTTAATAGACTTTCAACTCCTGCTCTCCTGCAGTTGGGCTTCAAAGAATTACGGATACGAATTACACTCTTTTCTGGAATCCCAGTCATTTGACTCAACTCACCGTAAAGAACCATCAGCTTTCAAATGGTTCTTCACTTTGGTGTAGGGAGCCAAAAGAATCGAAGCTTTTTGGTGAGTGGAGCTAAATGACCCAGATCCCCCCAAAAAAGCATAATAAGCTCAAAGCAGTACTGGGTAAAGAGCCCTTTGAGAGCTATCAGAGCAACGTTTTATTTATTTATTTATTTATTTATTGTTAAACTAACCTAAAAGATCCTGGAAAATGGCTGCAATGATTTTCACTATGCACCTTTCAGGACCCCTAAAGTGGTTTTAAAATTTAATAATGTTGTTTTCTGTTGGTCTAACCTAGGGGTGCCCAAACTTGTTCCCTGAGAGGGTCAATTTTAAAATCTATCAGAGGGCTGTGGGACAAATTAAATAATATAATACATGAAATGCAAATAATTCTTTAAGTCCATTTATTTATTATACAGTTATTTAACCTTCCATTCTGTATAAAGAACATTACAGAACAGAAAATATAACAAATAAGTCATATATAAGAAATTAAAACAAATATTGAAATCCTGGCATTTCAGTATAATTGTATGTAGTGCAAAATGTATGTCCTATTTAACCAAGCAAATCCCATAGAGACAGATCTCTTTTGCAAGGAAGGCCTGGGCCTAACGTGCATGTTTTTGGACTGTGGGAGAAAACCCATGCAAGGACGAGAAGAACATGCAAACTCCACCCAGAAAGACCCCAGGTCCAACCAGGGATTGAACCCAGGACCTTCTTGCTGTGAGGCAACAGTGTTAACCACTGAGCCATCATGCCTACAGCAACACAACTTAACAGCAACACTGATATGATCATAAATAAACAGTCCCATATATACGGTAGTCATTGGACCGACTTTTCCATCTAACATTAAAGTCAATGAGTGGAATGACTGAGTGAAAACACATTGATACTTCAAAGGAAATGTTAATAATAGTAATGAGGACTGCTTGGCGGACCAACTTTGGCCCACGGGCCCCACTTTGGGCACCTTTGTTCTAACCGAAACTTCCTGTTATGTTAATGGGCACATGCACTACTTCAGCCTCATCATTTGTGACTTCAGAGTAGAAAAGGCTTCGTTCAGGTGACAGAAAAAGCAATTCACACATTGTCAGTGTGGATTCTCATCTTAACTTGACGACGTGGTTCCCATCATGATGTAATGATTGTAAAATATTTGTAGCATGTCTGCCACCTGTGTATTAGTGTCAAAACTCCAAAAGACAAGGTCCCTGGATTGTGGCCATCTGTGATGAAGCAGGAGTGTTAATTCTCACTGGGATGCTGCCAGGTTTTGTCTCTGGGGGCTCGTGTAGTCGTAGTATGACTCAGGCAGACACAATGAGACACCGTATTGAGCTGGCTCACAGAGAGATCGTTCAGAGCATAAAAATAAACACGTGAGTTGTAAAAAGGAAACCGTCCTGATGAATTGCTGTTTTGTTACTAATGTTGGACATACTGTCTGCTTCTCAGCTAAGGAACGTTGCCACCTTTACTGCCAGTCTAAGGAGACGAGAGACGTGAGCCTCATTAAGGAAATGGTTCTGGATGGCACACGCTGCTCGTACAAGGACCCACACAGTGTGTGTGTGCGTGGAGAGTGCAAGGTAAGTGACTTTACTTTTGGACGTCAAAGTGAGGCAGCTTTATGTGGTCAGGTCTAAATGTGGGAAGCTTTGTATGTCCTTGTTAACAGAAAGTGGGCTGTGATGGCGTGATCGGCTCTTCGAAGCAGGAGGACAAGTGTGGAGTGTGTGGAGGAAACAACACCAGCTGCGAAACCTTCAGAAGCACAATAAAACGGACAGCGAAGAAGCAAGGTCAGCGTTTATTGTGTTTAAATCTGAAACACCCATGGCCTCAGTTCATCAGGACTCATTATAAGAAACAGTAATAGAGTAGTCCCTCGCTACTTCGCGGTTCGTTTATCGCGGATTCGCTCTATCGCGGTTTTTCAAAATTATATTGGACATGGCACACAATTGGCTGATTGATGGATGAGCCACACGATCGGCGTGGAATTTTTATTTAAAATAAATTATTTAGCACCTGCTGCACATTTGTGCAGCCCACACTGCTGCAGGGTAAACTTCCTGCTGCAGCTGATCAGACGATGTTCAGCATGCAGAGCGGAGAAGTGGGCGTGGCCAAGAGCGCTTGCAGGTGGCAAAGAGCAGAGGAGGCAGGGAGCGGAAGTCATGACATGCTGTGCTCTTTTAGAGCGTTTAGAAACATTGTTTAGAATATTGCAAGAGTGTGGGAAGGGTTTAAAACGCCTTTATTTATATACAGTATATATAAATAATAAAATAAAGTACTACTTACTACTTGTACTACTATTCCTACTTCGCGGTTTTTCACTTATTGCGGGTCTTCAGGGTACGGATCCCCCAGGATAAGCGAGGGACTATTGTGTAAAAAGAACAAATAGTAGATTTTCTTGTTGATTGGACCCGTTCCGTCCTCTCTCTTCAGTGTTTTGCTATCCTTACCTAAACATCACCGTCTAGAGGAAGGTTTTTGAGATTGTTACAAACTCTTAGGAAAATCTGAGTTTACGTCATTAGAAACACTGCCAAAAACTTGCTTTAACATTCATGAGCATATTAAGTTAAGTATATTATTCCACCCTGATGGCCTCCTGTACACTAGAAGTCCTGGAATTAGCTGCTTTTTCAGACTAAACGTTACAAAAGAAATTTGGGGATTGTGTGTGAGAATATTTTATTGTAGTGAGGAAGTCTTTTTTTTTCTGTTACTGGAGACTTTGGTGACGAATGCACGTTCGGCAGCGGGTCGTAAACCTCTCCCACTTCCCCAAGATCTGACAGCTGTCAGTCTCACAGCAGAGGAGACTCCATGTCCACACCTCAAATGAATCACACCATGGAATACAATACAGGATGTAAATATAATGTAAATGTATAATGCTCAATTTCTTCAACAAATCTTTGTATTTCATCTTGGAGTTCTCCAATGTCCTCCATATTACCCGTTTGTCATCCTGATTTTCTGAACACAATTCATGATTTGAAGTTAGTTGGACCAAGCAGAGCTCAGCGAGGGGAATACTTTGCTGTGATTGGTCAAAAAAGAGAGAAAACCCCACCCCCTCATTTGAATATAAGAACATGAAATAAAAAGAGCTTAAAATGAAAAATGGGGTTAAAAAATAAAAGCCCCTGAAATATGTAAAGTAGCTTTACAAAATAAAAGTGTCGCAAAATGAAACTCCCTTATTTAAATAAATTAAAATAAATCTCAAAATAAATAAAAATAAATAAAAATAAATCTTGGATAAAAACTAAACATTTCTATTTAAAAGTTTTATTTCATGGGAACATTTATTTAGGGCAGCATAGTGGCGCAACTGGTAGTGCTGCCGCCTCTCAGCGAGCAGGTCCCTGGTTCAAATCCCGGTCCGGGGGCCTTTCTGGGTGGAGTTTGCATGTTCTCTCCGTGCATGCGTGGGTTTTCTCCGGGTACTCTGCTTTCCTCCCACAGACCAAAAACATGCATGTTAGGCTGATTGGTAACTCTAAATTGTCTCTAGGTGTGAGTGAGAGAGTGAATGGTTGTTTGTCTTTGTGTGTCTCTGTGATGGACTTGCGACCCGTCCAGGGTGTACCCCGCCCTTCGCACAGTGATTGCTGGACATGGGCACTGGCAACCCCCGTGACCCAAAATGGAAGAAGCGGGTAAAAGATAATGGATGGATGGATGAAATGGCTTTCCATAATTTGAAGGCCATAAACTGTGAGTGCTGTAAACTGTAGAAGTCTTGTATTTCAGGTTTCCTCAAAGTTCTTGAAATCCCAAGAGGCGCGAGACACTTACTTATTCAAGAACTAAAAGCCACCCCTCACACTCTTGGTATGTGTCGCCTTACCTTGCTTTCTTAAATGTTTATTTGTATGTTTTTCTTTAAGAAAAAAAAAACATTTTCCATTTCTCGTTCACCTGCAGCTGTTAAGAATGTGGCATCAGGACTGTTCTTCTTAAACGGGGACGATAAATACCCCAAATCCCGTTCAGTCATAGAGAAAGGCGTGGAGTGGGAATATGAGAACGACAACAACAAGGAAACTCTTCAGAGCATAGGACCCCTCAGACATGGAATTCTAATAATGGTACACTAACATGATTAAATTTAAGGTTAAGTTTCAAATCTCATAAATAGACCAGTTTCCCAAAGTGTTTCTAACTGATCCCTTGCTGATATTTATGCAGATGAAACTGTACGGAGACGAGGATGTGAATTTGTTCTATAAGTACATGATAAATATGGACCGTGACTCCGCAATCCAAAACAACATGCTAGTAGAAGACAGCGCCTATGAGTGGGCGCCAAAAAGATGGTCCTATTGTTCCAAGGCTTGTGGTGGAGGTACAGTACAGCCAAATAATACAGATCGCAAAGTCTCCTGCTCATATTTTTCATAATTTTTTTCTCTCTCTCCCCCTCTAGGGAAGCAGTACCTGCGATACGGCTGCAGAAGAAAAGTTGACAGCAAGATGGTTCACAAAAGCTTCTGTGATAGATTAGATAAGCACCACTGGATTGGATACTGCAACCAGAAGCCCTGCCCTACACCTATGTATGGACCATTCAAACCCAATTCAAAAATACTGCTACAGCTAATTGACAGTAAACACCGAAATGGCTCTAACTCTGTCATTTTTACAAAAACCAAGCTCAAATTTGATTTAATAGTTGAGAAAAGTCATCTGGAACGTAAACGTCTGTGTTAACAGACCACATGAACTACCATGTGGACTAGCATCGGACCATATTGTATGAAATGTGCATATAGATACATGAGATGTATGATGTTATTTTTAAGATTTACCCTAAACAGTTATAACTCTAGCATGTATCATTACTGTGTTTCTTAGTTTATACCTACAATAAAAGGCAGCAGATGATGTGCATTTTTTTAAAGAAATGCTAGACCTTTACTATTTTTCTGTTTTTGACTTATAGATGGGTAACTGAGGAGTGGCAGAACTGCAGTAAGCCGTGTGGAAAGACAGGGTTTCAGGTCCGCTCTGTCAGGTGTATGCAGCCGTTAGAAGGCAACACAACACGTCTGATCCACAATAAACACTGTAGTGACGACCGTCCAGAGTCACGCAGACCCTGCAACCAGTTTCCCTGCCCCACTGAGTGGAGCGTTGGCCCATGGTCACAGGTATGCACTTCACGTGCCTTTACCTTGCTTTAAATATGATTTGCAGACATAATATTTAGATATTTCATCTATACAGTAGGTACCCTGTAATCTTAGATTTTTTTTTCACTGTGTGTGTTGTATCACTAGTGCTCAGTGACGTGTGGCAATGGGACCCAGCAGAGGCAGGCTCTGTGCCACACCCGGGACAACACCATCGGCCTGTGTTTAGATAGCAAGCCAGAAACTATAAGAGTTTGCCGTCTGGACCCATGTCCCAGTAAGTCCTGAATGGACATCACTTCATAAATAATCCTACAAGACTTATTATGGTTATTAGTTACACAATAACACGTCGAACCTGTGTCTGAAACAGTACCCGAAACAAACAGAAATAGAAAACTGTTAAGTATTGAGTACAACTTCCTGTAGGATAAATATGTAACCTAAACAGGCCCATGATATCTTGACTATCTAGTTGAAGGTACTGCCAGATTTTTTTTTACTAACTTTTTGACTGTTAAAGGGACAAGACAGAAAATATAACCTAAAATCAGGTAAAAATTAAAAAAAGTGGAGACAATGTCTAAAGTCACTGAATATTAAGCTCCTTAATTAATATGGTAATATAGATTAATATGGTAATTGGAGACGGCCTAGTAAGAGGCAGCACCTATTATTATCCACCTAAGAACGGGTTTCTTAACTTTATATTGTAACTCTTCCGCCAACTTTAATGCGGCCCGAACCACAACATGTACCCCCACAAAAGTTATATCAAAATGACTGTCTCAGCACCATGATGTGTGCTATTACTTTTATTTGCTTTTGAGTTACCGTGGCTACATAATTTGCAAACAAAAACACAATTTTTCCCATACAAAACACCTGACGGAACACTCGTCACCCTCTACCTACAGCTCTGAGGTCACATGACCTAGAGTGGAGCGCTCCACGAACAAAACTCAGAAAGTTATCGAACAAACTCTTCCTACCACCACATCTTTTAAGAAACACTTATATATTAAAAATCAAAACGTGGGCATTTTTGTTGTCTAAATTTTAAAATGGCCACCACGTGGCAGTCCCCATCAAAGTTTCTGCAGGAACTTTCTAGTTTTGCTTTAGGGTCAACTACAAATAGATTTAGTGTTTTATTATTTGCAAGGAAAATTTTAACATTTTAGCAACTCCTCTTGTTATCTTTGGAAAGTAAATCCTTGATTAATTGGTTACTACTACTGCAGCATGAATGTTTGGGACAAGTGTTTAAAAATGCTTGAGTTTCCAGACTGCCTAGAAAACTCTTAACTCATAACTGGCATTTGTGGTTTTGTTTAATAGCTCAATAGCTCTTTTTCACGAGCAAAAAGATTGTTAATGAGCTAAGAAAATTTTAAAAAGGGCATAAATTGCTCTGTAGAGCTTTCCTTGTCTCTGACCTAACTCCATCACTCTTTCTGTGCTTTCTTGCAGAGGGCTCATCAGACCTCAACAAAAATGGCAACATTCTGATCCAGTGGCTTTCTCGTCCCAATCCCAACTACCCGAGGATCTCTTCACGTAAAACCTCCCTCTATAGCTGCCAGCCCGGCCTCCACAGTGGCAGCCGCAGCTGCATGTCTGTCCTCTGCTGGGCCCTGCCCGTCTCTGTCCTCCTGTCTCTGCAGGGCCGGCCCCGGTTGGCCCCCTGACCTGCCCCTCCTCCATGCCTTGTGCCTGTGCCCATGGCCGCAAGCGAGCGGCAAAGCTTTCGCTTCTCTTTTGGTGGGGGGCGGGGGATGTTGTGTCTCTCTCTCTCTTTGTGTCCGAGGCGGCTCTGACCTGGGGGAGGTCTCTGGCTCCTGTGTGTGCTAGTTGGTTCTCTCTTGCTCTGTCTCTCTTTATCTCTCTATCGCTCCTCTGTGGAGCATTGTGTTGTGACCGCTGGCCAGTCGAAAACTTAAAAGATCAACAACAAGAAAATATCTGACGTGAAAAGGATTCAAAGTGGCAAGGCAAACAGGTTTTCATTGGCACCTCCTGTGACGTGTCAAAGAGTCGTCCATATGTGACGGGGAGGCCTCACCCTCTGCATGTGGCGGCCATGTTTTGCGCGAGCTAGCTGCGTGTTGTTCTGGGTTACCACTCTTGAGGCGCAGCAGCGCTCTGTTCTTTTTGTAGCGCGTTGTCCGTGTGGGGAGAAACAGATGTGAAAATTAACAGAAATGTTAAATAATATTCATATAGAAAAAAAATTATATATATATATATATATATATTAAAAAATATGAAAGCTTTATTGTGAATGTGATCTGAGGACATCTTTGCTAAAGTGCTCATCTGACATCCTGGTTCCATTTGGGGATGAGAATGGTGTCTCTTTCTAACGTTCCGTTCTCAGACCAACAGGAACTTAGCACCAAGATTGGAAGTGAAATGAGTAAACCTTTTTATTTTATTTTTTTATTTTTTTTCCTGGAGAAACTGGGAGGTGAAAAAACCTTGAAGGACAATAAAAAAAAAAAACAATAAAAAATGAAATAAAAAAAACAGGGTAGATTGACCACTTGAGGTTGCTTCCCATTTCACCTCATCATCTGCCATCCTCTCTGACTGTTATACAAAATCCAATAAATGCAGCTTATTTGTGCTTGCAGACTTTAAACAAATATGTCTATAAATATATTTGTATTTATATATACCTATAAATTTAAATCTATATGAGTAACAATAATATTAATAATGTTTTACCATGAATAAGCTGTAGCTTATTTGCCTAAAACCTTTGGACTGCTATTGATCACTTAGATCCTTGACTGTTATGTGTATTTTTTTATTAATTTTACATGAATACAGATGAATATTTAATAAAGGCAAAGTGTTTTGGGGGGAATGGGTTTGACCTATATTATGCAGGACTTGGTCGGTTAGTTGCCTCTCCATCCTCTCAAATGAATCAGTGGTTTTCTGTCGCTTCTCGTTTTCTTTCAGGAAAGGATCACATTCTGTCATGCACATTAGCATCCATCACCTGTACGTTTGCCTCTGTATGTGCCTGTGTGATACGTTTCTATACTGTATGTGCGTGGGGTGGCTGGGCGTCTTACACGAGGAAGTAAAACAAAGACCAGTCCTTGTCGAAATGAAAGCGTCAACATGAGTGTTTGTGCATGAGGCTGCTGCATCATTTTGGGATTTTACACACGGCGATCAGATACAGAAATACCTCATAAACTTTGATTTGAGCGCATCTGGTGATTTCACTTTATTTTGATGAACATGTAACCACATGAACAATGCCTTATCTTGGATTGAATGTAATGGCATTTATCTGTGAAAGAGATGGCTTTACTCATTCAAAGTTTCACTCGGAATAGAGGCAGCTTCAAACCAACCAACAAACTCACACCCGCCAATCATCAAAACCTACCAAGGTGACGTTGGGCTGTTGTCCGGCTACTGGAAAGTGTTTTCAAAGGGCCTAAGGTATTGACATATGGCATCTAGAGAAAAAAAAAAAAGAACACTTTAAAGTTGTCATTGTATTGTGATCACATATTTTTGTTGTGACTATGTAGCGAGCTATCCAAGGTTTCCTGCTGCTGGAGTTGGACTGTATGAGACCAAGCCAGACCTAGCAGTGCGATACTGTATATAACATTGGTGTTGACTGTATTTAATAATGTTCATGACTGTTATCTTCTTCTATAATATTCTATACTATGGGTAACTGTTTTGTGGCTTCACTGGCCTGCTGCGTGGGGCTGGCTAACGTTCGGCTAACGTTGAAGAAACCTTCAGATGGACTACGTGCACTGCGTCTATATGCACTTTGATTTATCAGGGAAATTTTATTAATGTTTTGTAAATGTTTCATATGACACTTAATGTGCCATTCCAGTTTTTACATCATCATGGAAATTATGTATTTTCTTTATAAAAAAAAAAAAAAAAGAAGAAAACAAGAAAAGCAAATATAATTTATGTACTTCATGCTTTCTTTATTTTTTTCCCCCAACTGATGAACAGATTGACTGGTTGATTTCCAAGTAATCAAGTGTTTTACCAAAGTGACTGTGAACCTGTAACTTTCGATACAGTTGAATTATTTTTCTTAAGAACAAAAAATATATCTATATAATGAGGAGGAGGAGGAGGACACGTATAACTCATTGTTTCAGTTCCTGTCATTCTCAACAGCAAAGTAGTATCAATAAAGACGTTTTAAAAAGTGTGATCTTTCTCTTTAGAAATGTTAGATTTGTTGTTAGAGAATGGAGTTAATTTCACATCTGGGGTGCACATTAAGTGTTGGAACTTTGGCAATTGTATGAAAATGCTGCATTAGCACATAAAACTTTTGAATTAGATGTTTTATACCAACAAATCGAACCTTAAAAGCATAATTTCACTGACCACACAAGACTGGCGACCCTTCCTTTCTATTTCAGTTGCTCCAGATTAATTTCATGACTTCTTGGGTTTTTCCCCATCTTTCCTGAGTCCCCCTGCTGATGGTCTGGCTTTCCTACTTTACTTTTGCAAAATGTGAAACACACACACTTAAATACACACACAGGCTTGCACTTTTATGTCTCCTCTTAACACACACTGAAACCAATGCTAATTTAACTGCAACATCTTCCAGTGTGTTGAATTTAACTCACAAAGATCAAAAGTCACACATTGCTTCATAGTCTCGACTTCTGTTTGCGCCAAGTCTCAGCTCTGTTTTCTCCTTCGCAGGCCAACGTTGCCATGGAGACCGTTCTGTGTTCTGTCGTATGGAAAGGCTGAAGCACTACTGCTCTCTGCCGGACTACCAGCGTATATGCTGCAAGACCTGCAGCCACTTCAGCAGCACAGAACCTGCGCCCAGTTCCACGTCTAGATCCAACCTCGTCACCTCTGTTACAGATCCTTCACCCAACAACACCTTGAGCTCTGGGTTCACCACCTCCCAGCCCATTGAAGCTGACATCACCACCGTTTCAACTTCTGCCACCAATTCATGGTCTACCACTCAGCTTCCAGTCTCCACCACTTCAGCTTTTCACTCCAGCCCAACTCCACGTTGTACCACAGTAATAATACCTACTCCTCCACCAACTATAACCACCATCCCTTTCCTCCCGACCCTATTTCCTAATTCCATCACATTTTCTAACACATTTCCCATAATTGAGAGCACAGATCAGAAGGTGCAGACCACTACAACTTCTCCAACAGCTGCAAAACTGACGTCAACCTTCAGAACTGACTGGACTAATCCAACAGAAAGCAGTACTAAAACAGACATCTCACTAAAATCTAATTTAGATAAGAAAATCAAATCAAAAACCAAGAAAAAGGTTCTACCAAAGACTGAGCAAAAGAAAAAGACAAAACCTGAAAGTACAAAAAATCATGCACCACCAAAGACGAATCTTAAAAAGAAAATAAATTCTAGTCCAAAACTTAGTAGTCCGAAAAAGACTAACCCATCTAACACTACTGCAAAAAAGACTACTCCAGCAAATGCTACTCCCAAAAATACAACTTCAACAAACACTACTCCTAAAAAATCAACTAAAGCAAACAAGAGTCCAAAAATTGGAAATCCCATGAAGAAAAATCCATCAAACACCACTGAGAAAAAAAACACATCAGCAAATGCAATTCCTAGGAATACAACTTTATCTAACTCTAGTCCAAAAAAAACTACCACAAACACTACTTCAAAAATTGGCACTCACAAAAAGAAAAATCCATCAAACGCTACTAAAAATCATATACCAGTAATTCAAACAATTGTTAGTCCTCACAATACAACTTCATTGAACGCCACTTCAAAAAAGATCATTAAAGCAAGCGCCACTCCAAATAGCGACACTCCCAAAATGACTTATCCTTCAAACACCACTGAAAACATGGCTACTCAATCAACTGTTAGTCCCCAAAATACAACTTTATTAAACAATACTACTCCAAAAACAATGATTAATGCAGGCACTACTCCAAAAATTGACACCCCAAACAAGATTTATTTATCAAACATCACTGAAAATGTGTTTACTCCAACAATTGCTAGTCTCCAGAATGCAACTTTATTAAACACCACTCCAAAACACAATACTAAAGTAAGCATTACTCCAAAAAAAGGCATTATCAAAAAGATTTTTCCATCAAACAAAACTGCAAAAAAGCTCACTCCAAAAAAGAGTATTCCCAAATTTACTAATCCGTCAAACACAACTCAAATTAGGAGTACTTTAACAATTTCTAGTACACAAAAAACAACTTTATCGAACACCACTCTAAAAAACACTACTAAAGAAAGCATTACTCCAAAAATTGGCAATTCTAAAAATATTAATCCAAACAAAACTGCAAAAAAGACCACTCTAGCAAACACTATTCCAAATATTGGTACTCCTGAAAAGACTAATCCATCAAATACTTCTACAAAAAGCCCTATTCCGACAACTGCTAATCCCCAAAATATGACTTCTTCAATTACTACTCACAAAAAGACTAATCCATCAAAAAACACTTCTAAAAAGACTACTCCAAAACATTCTAACCCCAAAAAGATCAATCCATTAAAAACCATTGCAAGAAAACCGACACCAGCACAGAATAATCCCAAAAATATGACATTGTCAAACACTACTCAGAAAAAGAATGCTACGTCAACAAGTTCTCCCAAAAAAGCCACCCCATCAAATATCACTCCAAAAAAGAGTACTCCACCAAACCCTTTCAAAAAGATAACTCCATCCGGCACCACTTTAAAAACGAAAACTCACAAAAAGCCCACTCCAGTAAAGAAAAATAAACCTTTACCTAAAAAACTCACAGTAAAGAATATTGTGCCCAAGACAAAAGGCACAAAACAGACTCCAGGAAAGGCAAACTTTCAAAACAAGCTAAAACCAGCACCAAAAAGTGACTTTAAGTTAAAGACCAAGGTCCATCAAGGTAAACCCAATGAGAAAATGACTCATCCAAAACAAAAAACACCTTTTTACACTACATCTCTTACCCCCATTTTCACAAAAGATTCACCACAAGAAAAATTTTCTACAACTCCTCCTTTCAGCAGTAGTAGCACAATGCTGAACTTGCCCTTCCATGAGTCAAAAATCAGTCCGACACACCTGAGTGGTACAGGTGTTACAGCTAAAACTCCACTGTTGCATCATGATAGCACACTAACAGAAGCCACAACGTCCAACCGTTTTACTGGCTTCATAACACCTTCAAGAGGCATTAGCACTGAGGATGTCGCGGTGGCAAGCAGTGGGGATGCTACGGACACAAGTGGGACTTTTCCAAGTGGTGATGACAACAAAGAGTCCTATACCTCTGCAGGAATGGTCAGTGGCACTGTTGGGCTGGAGGACGGCTTATCCACGATGAACCCAGGTATAAATGAAGACGATTCAACCAAGCTTGCCTCCTCGCCCTGGCTGGAACATTCTGAGTACATCCCTGTGAGCATTCCCATTCCCACAACCACCTCCGATCTCACCCCTACCTCACTCCCAACAGTAATCGCTCATTCCAAAGAAGAAGCTGCTACATTAGCTCCAACTTTGGTCCCTACCTTAAAGCCTCAGCAAAGGACTGTGGAGAACAATGAGAACAACTTAATTGATACCTTTGACAACAAAGTTGTAGGTGTAGACAGTACCATCTCTCAGAATAACCTGATTCCGAAGCGTCGGGTCAACCTTAGAGAAAAAACCAGGAACAAACGTATACAAGAGCTTCTGGAGGAAAAACGAAACTTTCTCCTCAGGATGAAAAGAGCCCAGCGTGCACGCTAGAGCAAGCTTTCTCATTTCTCTTATAGAGATGAACATTTCTGATGCACCTCTTGTCTGCCACGTCGTTGTATACCAGGCCATCCTAAGATTCGCTGAAGATCAGGACTGCAGGGAGAGAAGACCGGTGTCAAATGATCAAACCCCTTGGTAAATGGACTGTACTTATATAGCGCCTTTCTATCTTATCAAGATACTCAAAGCGCTTTACACTACAATCTGTGTCCTCATTTACCCATTCATACAGCACTCTACTAGATCTCTACACATCTAATTGAACAAATTATTCTAAAGAGACTAATCAGAGCTTTAGATCACATTCATACCCCAGTGGGACACACATCGGAGGAAATGAGGGGTTCAGTGTCTTGCCCAGGGACGCTTCGACATGTGACTACTGGTGGATTCGAACCCCCAACTCTTGCATTGGAGGACAACTGCTCTAACCACTCAGCCACAGCCGCCTAACGTTTTGTTTCCCCTTGGAAACAAAACGTTAAGAATAATGGCTGGCTTAAGAGTCTTGCACAGTTTTGTAGATAGATAATTATTTTTTTATATATTTTTACAGGTACAGAGCCACCAAGAATCAGATTCTTCCCTTATATTGCTGCCAAGGACTGCACCTCCCCCCACATGTACATGTTCAGATCTGTCTCCTGATAACAACTGATTAGATGGAGTTGTTTGTTGGTATTTTAGTGTTGAATCCTCTCCACCAGCTGAACTTGAGCTTCTTGATTCCTGAAAGCAGTAAAGTACTGCCCGACCTTGACAAAGTCAAAGTTGGCTTTTGGTTTTAACCCTGATCAGATGTTGTGTTTTTTACTCAGATTAGATTCTGCTGCCATCCCCAAGGAAAGATACTCTAAAGTGTGTATTATTTCTCAGGAACTCACAATGTGAAAGTTTCACAAGAGACCTTTTTTAAAAGACATGGTGCTTATATGATTTAATAAATGTTCTCACTAAGCCAGCTGGAATCTGAAGTACTTTTAAAGAAAATCCATTTGTTGATTGTTTTCTTTATTAAACGCTCAGTCAAGCAAGGTGCTTTTTTTATGTCTCTGTTGCAAACGCATTGTTTTTCATCCAAGTATTTATGCAGGAAAACTAGAAAAAATAAAGAAAAAAGCAGGTCTTGGCATATTATATTCAAACGAAAGCTTTAAAGGCCACTTTATTTTTTCCTCTGAAAGCTATGATGTTTAACATGAAGCAGACACAAAGCTGACTATCGTTTTGTACAATATATAATATTTGTACATATGAAACAGAAGCTAATGTTTAATATTTATTAAAGTTTAAGCTGTATTTTGCAATTTACGTGTTGTGTATTTTTTTAAAGTCATGAAAAAAACTACTTGTCGACTTCAGAGGAGCAAAAACAAGTAAGAAATGCAAATGAACCATGCATCTATTGCAGCATAATTCCATTTTTATGTTTTTAAACGTGCTTGCACATTTTCTTTAAATGCTCAACTTCAGGTTGCAAAATTATATCATCTGTTCACTAGGGGGAGACACATTATTGGTATTCATTACAATGTTAGTAGTTCTTTCATAGGTGGGTTTATTCGTTGTTTTCTTTCTTTGTTTCGGCAAATCAGATCATACTGAAAGTTCAGATTACTTTATTGTTGACTTGAACCAAAACTCAATTTTTACCGTTTTTGTTTTTCCTTTATGTGTCTCTACATTCAAAATCCAGTCCGGTAAATGATTGATTAGTTGTTTATGAGTTTTTATTATTGAGGGGTAAACCAACGGTAATTGACAGTTTCTTTCTGCACAGATCTGGTTCTAGTGAACAATATGTTGTAAATGTTCTATTATTTAGCCTAAAACAAAATAATTTGGTTTATATTTTGTTTTCGGAAACAAACTAAAAATATAATGTGTAAAAAAAAAAAAAAGAGAAGGGGGGGTCGGGGTGTTAGGCATTCATTGATGGATTGCATATTGCCCATCGTCTATCATGCCTGTGTTGAAAACTCAGAACATCTCATTGTGAAAAGTGATGGAGTTTTAGTCGCGTGTAATATTGCAACGTATTGAGGGATCTTGCAACCTCTATTAGCACTCAGAGTATGTCTTGAGGATGATTCTCAGCTACTACCACACCGATTTTTAGCTCAATAACAATAAAACAGGCTGAGCTGCAGCCAGTTTTGTTTGGTAAGTTCAAGCACCTGTGGCGTCCAACTTGAATTCATTTGATTCTAAAACCGGTGTAGACGTAATGCCACTTTGATTGTTGATATGTGCTGCTGATTATCCATGCTGCTGATTTATTTCTTGCTGCTGTATTTATTTGTACTCATCTTCTCACACAGACTCATGTTGGTGCTGTTGTTGTCCGGCGTATTGTTTTGCACTATTAAGTGTTTAGTGTATTTCTTAGTTTATATCTTAGATCCTTAATACTGTTTCATTTACAGTTTATAATTTTGCTATTGTTGGATGTAACTGGGACCCTGTGTACACAGTTTTGTTCCACCACATGTACCACATGTGATGCGAACGATGATAAAGAACCTTGAAATTGAACCTTGGACTTCAAGCAAATGATGACTTTCTAAAACTAATTTGTTCACTGGTTCCTGAGATATTTTGCTAACAGACAAACCAACAAATGCAGACAATTACAGTATTGCTCATCCTTGTATCATATAAAGGTAGGTGGTTATTAGGCGACCACAAACGTCTTCAAAGGAAACAAATAATTAGAATAAACTTGGTCTTTGCCTCAAAAGGTTTGTAGAAACAAATGATTTGCCATGTGTAAATACTATTGTATATAAATGAGTCAGCATAAAATCACTGGCACAAAACAATAAAGTAGAAGATTTGCAGTTTGTATCCGATCGTCTCAAAGGCCAGGATCCCGTGCTGTCAATGTTTATGAGAGCTGGAACACTGCTGAGCAATAAAAACCTCCGAGATCTCTGACAGGTCAGAGTCAAAATCCTGAAGACAAGCAGAGGGTTACAGAAAAACAAAATATGACCAGCTTTACAGATATTAGAAAATAGAAAGGATATGATGGCACCACCAACCTATCGAGGTAGAGTAGACACCAGAAACCCACGAAAATCAGAAAAGAAGGATTAAGCTGAAACAAAGAGGTTTAACAAACCTCTGAAGAAGGTGGGAAACCTCACAGAGAGTTCATGCAACCACTTTAAGGTCATATCCTGTGGCTCCGGGTGAATTTAATGTTTAATTATTAGTAATTTGACAGGATGATTATAGAAGCACAGAAACCTTCATAAAGCATTAAATGCTAGCTGATTAAACTTGTCCACAAAGGCTCCGGTTGTTCATCCTGGCCTCCTTTGATTAAATTTTCCTTCCAAACATTAAAAAAAAAGTTCTCAGAAATGAATATCCTTTCAAAGAAATGCCCCTCTCTGGCCTCCAAAGGAAAACTGTGACCATTTCTCAGAAACTTCCCGGCAGCTGTGAGCTGATTGATAAAAATCAATAACCAGGCCCAAGAATCTCAGCTGAACGTTCTTTTTACCGTACGGTTAGCACAGAAGCTTTTAGTATTCATGAGCATTCACTGAACGTCCACCTGTCCTGTTTTAATTTGCTTTTTATCGACTCAGGAAGTGGAGAAGAACAAGACATCGAGCACTGTGACAGCATAAATGGATAGTTAGGGTCCTCTGAAGTGGGGTTGATGGAAAGGTTGTGAATATCTTACCTGCTGTAGATGACTCTTTGAACAGCCTCTGTTTGGAGAAATATAGTTTAATTCTGACTGTAACAAGTTTATGGCAAGGCCAAAATATGTCAGTCAATGTCTTAATATATATATATATATATATATATATATTTCACAGCAGTTGATACAAATATCGTTTTACACATCTTTACATCGCTATCAGTTTCTAATTGCATATTTATTAACATAAAATCTTATGATTACCAATATTTACAAGCACAAATAGAATTAGTGAGTGTGTTGCAGTATAAAGAATTATAAAATAGCATACATAAAGCACTACAATATGCTTTTTTGGTTTGTTTTTAGCTTGAGTTGTTTTAAAACAGCAGAAATTCCCTTTGTCCTTGGCCCCACTTGGACTTACCACTAGTTTGTTGATCCAGTTTGAATAAAACTATCTTTCTGAGGCTATTTAAAGTGCCATCTACAACAAGTAAGATATTAGTTGCTCAACCCGACTTTGAATTATCTGAACTATTCTGTTAAAGAACTGTCACAGAACCAGTACAGGGGTGCCACCAAGAAAAGGGGTGGGCAATGCAACCCCCCCATTTTGCTTTTTGGCACCCTAACATGCATGACGACTGTGGGATGGAGCTGGAGCAGCTGGAGAAAACTTCATGGTGCAACTTTATTCTGATTTAATAATATAAACATTTATCTTTGTGTGTTTTATTAGTGCAAAGGGTTTAATTTTTTATTTTATTATTGTCACGGATGGTCTTTTTTTTTTTTTTTTCCGGCTACGCCCTTCCTCAGTGTCGCCACAGCAAACTATTTCACATGAAGACATGGCAGCTGTTTTTAAGCCGGATGTTTTTCCTGACACAACCACAGACCACCGAGCTGACGCAGCCCTCTGGGTGGAGTAGAGAGCTGACATCAAGGGCACCTGGGTGTGCAGAAGGTGGAGGTTAAGGGCCTTGCTCAAGGGCCCAAGGTGGGGTAAATGAGGAGGCAGGTGTGGGTGTTTCATCTTTCCCACACACTTTTTGATGTTGTCGATCCGGGGAGTTGAACTGTCAACAGGCCCACCTTTTCTAACCTCTGCACCACCACTCTCATTGTCACTGATGGTCATTACTGCTAATATAAAAGTAATATGTATTACACAAAATATAACATGTTTTTGTAAATTCAGCTGTACATTAGCAAAGTAGCTGACTGCCAATCAGTTTTGCGAGCAACCACAAAACATCACGTTAGCAAGCTAAAGTTCATCTAAACGCTATACAGTAATCAGTCTTTGAAGATATCTGTGCCTTCT